GACTGCCCTAGGTTTGGAGGTAGAGCAAGCAGTGCAGGGCAGCTAACCGAAAAAATTTAAATTTGTTAGTATAACCTGTAAAATCGGTATACCTAGTTGACATTACGTAGAAAAAATAATCCGACGACGGAATCTATAAACAGTAAGTAAATACTTAAATATATAATAAATATATAATGTAGATAAATATATAATAAATATATAATGTAGAATGACATAAAAGAAGTATTTAGAATGTTATCCAAACAGCACAAAATATCCGAAAGACATCCTGGGAAGGCTCTTGGACGTTTTTTCGGAGGGATTTGTTGTATGGGTATCCAACACAAAACAGTTTTTAAAAGAAATAGGATTGTTCAACAAAACATAAAATGCTATAAGTGCGAAAACATGACCATAAATTGATCTATGTTATTTAATCCAGCCATGTTGTCCGCCATCTTACACTGCTCTAACTTGCTCTTATCCGTTCTTTTCAGACCCATATGTATCTTTGCACTGGTCTGCACTATCTTGAACTTTCTTCAACTAGTACAGTTCCAGTGCAGCCCTAGGTCAGGTCGAAAGGACAAACCTAATATATTGCACACATGTCACTGCCCCAGGAATACTTGTACTCTGAAATTTATTTTACTTTTATTACCACTATTTAATTAATATTTAACACGGGCTTATGCCACGTGTACAACATATAAAATTTGCCGTTATAATAAGGCTATTTACCAGAGGTCACGAAGTTGTGCTCGTAGCACTCCTTGTCCCTCAGAAACCCCTTCTGAGTCGGACTTAGCTTTCGGCCGGCAATCGCCCAGTCGGTCAATCGATCGGCCAGCACTGCCGCGAAGAGCTTGGGCATGGTGTCACCGAGCACGAGAGAACGCCAATTTTCCAACAAGCCGCGATCTCCCTTCTTATATACCAACACGGTGTTGGAGGTCTTCCAGCTCGCGGGGATAGCCTCGAGCCGCAGGCAGGCGTTGAACACCGCGGCGAGCAGCTGCGCCGTCGGATCCGAGACACGGAGGTTACGGTAGGTCAGACCATCGGGACCGGGCGCAGAATTGTTCATGCGCCGGAGCCTCCGATCAACCTCTCGCTCCGTGATCGGCAGAATCAGCTCAGCCGCCTGTTCGCCTTCACTCGAGGCCTCGGACAGCTCCACAGGCGCGACGCCGTGCAGATTTTCCGTGCCACAGTATGTACCCTCGAAGTACTTCTGCACCCGCTGTGCGGACACGTCGCACAGCTCCGCGGGGCTGGAAATCACCTCTCGGATCGCTTTGCGGCGGTTCTTCCTGAACAGCGCCTGAATGCGCGCTGCTTCGTGCGCCGTGTCCGCGCGACCTTCTCCACCGAACATAGGGGGCTCCGCCTGTGCGGGTCCCCTCTCGCGTATGGCGCCGTCTCCCACTCCCCCCGCTCTCCGCGCGTTATTTCCGGAAATATCCGTAATTTTCGAGGAAGGCTACGCGGTACCGCTCAAGTCGTCTTCGAAGGCAAGACGTCTTCCTGAACAGTTCTGACAAGAAATTGCTATTTTTGGTGACGTCCAGTTTGACGAGGAGAGCGTCATTATCACCGCAGTGGATCTTGTCGCCGCGGTGAATTTGGACCACGTCTACGTAGTCGTGGTCAGTTGAGCCTATGGTCCGTAAAATTTCGCCGCCTTTGTCGCGCGGAGCGCGCATACCGTGGCGACAGGCGTAAAAGCGGACCACATGCATTCCGCATTCTCTCAGAATGCTCACATCTTGCAGTGCGTCCGCGACGTGGCCGGTATAACTTTTCTACTCGTTCGACGGGATCATGTACTAGGTGCGCAACTAAGTTTCCGGGTTTCACATATGGATGGCGCTAACGACACATGTAGTCGACATACATGTCTAAAGTTGTGTTTCTTTTATAGCTTGGACATCTGTCAACAATAACCAGTTATAAAACCAACATATATTGCAATGCAAAAATATTTTTTCTAACAATGAAGATGTCGAGTTTTGTGCAAATAAACAGCATTTGCGGGAAGCTTTGCTCTTCTGCTTTATTTCGAACGGCCCGAGGGTGGAGAGCGGCCGGTTCGCTTGCGAGATGCGGATAGTTGTCCGCTCGTCCGTTGGATACCGCGGGCTTCGTCGCTGTCAGTCCGCTATCCAGCGGCCCCGTGCGATGACGTGGGGTGCAAGCGATTCGCGATGTGCTTTGGAGACGAGGGTGTGCGCCTCCGTGTGTGTGGGGAGTTGCCAATTCGAATGGAGCGAGCGAACTCAATCGAGGCGGCGGCCCTACGGTAATGCACCGCTTCACAGCGCCTCTGCGTTAGGAGAAGTCCCCCTTGTCGGAGGGATCAATAATAATGAGAATAATAACGTCGCGTGGGCGACGTAGCCTCAGTCTCGCGGGGACTGAGGCGTGAATGTAACTCGCGTGTGGAGTCGCGTATGCGACGGATATAATTTCAGGGTCGATGTATAAGCGAGCGTGGATCGCGTAAGCGCTGAGGCCCAGGCCGCGACTAAGTCCCGAGCGGACGTGAATGCGAGCTTATCTCGCGGGTATATGCTACGTCCCGAGCAGCAGCGGCTGAGTCCTGAGCGGACGTGACGGCGAGGGGAGCTCGCGCGTATACGCTGCGTCCTAAGCAGCAGAGTTTCGATAGAAACCTACGATCCGCGCGGAGTCGTGAGCCCGACAGGTACAGCGTTCTGTCGAACTGGTACACGAGAGCTGCGATACTTGAGCTATCGCAAAGGAAAGCGTCCACCGCGGTGGAGGCTCCGAAGTAATCCTAATGGTCGCACGAAGCCTTCTCTCAATCCTCGATCGTATGGAGAAGGTGGAAGATCCGTGGAGTTACCTAGATATTCGTACGAACAAATGCCAACGTGTCTTAAACACTCTAAAGGCAATAGCCCAACGTGCAACGCACTTTAAAAGGCTGCGGAGAGTTGTGTAGAATCACAAAGGACCTAAACAGAAATGCCAACGCGTCTATGACACTCTGAAGGCAGCGATGATCAAATGCAGATAAGCAAAAGTATACCTCTGGCGAGACAAATGTCCAACGTGCTTACACACTCAAGAAGGCGATATAAAGCTAGCTAGAGTTCAAAAGAATACCTCAACAAGGCAGTGACCAGATGTGCTACGCAGTCAAAAGGCCAGCTAGTTAGAGTTCAAAAGAATACCTCAGCGAGGCAATGACCAGATGTGCTATCGCAGGCAAAAGGCCTAGAGTCGTCGCCCGCGGCGTCTTATATAGGCGCCGCACCGAAATTTAACTGCGAGCGATGGTCCCGGCTCGGTTCGCTGCCGCGTAGCGACGACGGCGCGAAGCAGTGGCGAGCGGCAGTCGCCCGCGAGCGGAACGCGCTTGGCGCACGGCCGCCCGCCGCTCGCTATCCGTGCGGACGGCAGCTTCCGTACGGAACATACTTTAACTTGAAAAAAAAATGCAGTTGAAGCACGTTATTTGCTTGAGGAGGCCTACGGCGAACATGCACCATCGAAAACTACCCCATGAATTTTCGCAATTCAACAGCAACTAAATTTTCGGCGAAAACGTTTCTATTGTGAAAATTTGGTTTTGCGATCATTGCCTCGGCACCATTGCTACCGCCTGTCTCATTTTGTCAACAGTTTTACGTCTACATGATTACGAACATTTTCCATGGTTTTTCCAAATTCTGCATTATTTATCAGTTTGTACAAATTTTTCTCAAAATCGTTTGTTCCATGTGTTCTAAATTGTGTATTAAGTTCAATGTAATCGCGGAGCCATGGAGATTGAGCAAATTGAAGACGCGGTGTATTTTTACGATACCAAGACCATGACACGTGCACTGCTGCAGATTGCGATAATGAATAACATAACGTTGTTTATTGTATAACGTCGCGAGAAGTTTTTATCTTTTGCCGAGCGGTTTATCACGCGTTGGACAAAACGGTAGGTCAGCATGCGCGTCATGTAAACCTTCCGGTTACTCCAAGTCGATCTCGAGAATATAACCTATGGGCGAATCGATAGCGATTGAAGATACATCAAATTTGGAAACATCTGTAACCCATTGAAATTCAGCGTAAGGCAGCGGTTGACACATTGCCCAACCGTACAGATCATTCACATCAAAGTACATCAAGTACGACGATGGCTTCAAGGGGTTGTAAGATTGCATGTACTTGTTATTGGTGCGCGCGTATCTACCGGAACATTGACTCAAGCCGCCGCATAAACATAACCGCGCTCGATAAACATAACCATATCGATGTCGGTGGCAATTCAAAATTCATGCCTGTATGTTTCAATATTGCATCCCACGTGAATTCCGGTAGAGTGTAATAATGCGCAGGATCTAATCCATAACTCTTGATGCAACTATCGCGGAAATTTTAAAAAATATCGACCAATAACAAGATATCAGTCTTCAAGTACAAGTCGCTGTATTCGCCCAAGGTTCGAATAGAGAATCGTTACCAGACATTCGCAGCGTGCGCGTAATCGCTCTCGAATACCGTATCGTCCGTCAACGAACTGTAAAACAATTCTCGCGGCGGTAAACACATCCTGCAGCTTGTCCACGCAATCCACGATTTCGTATGGAAAGACACCTTTTCGCGTCAATAAATCGGATAATTTTGGAAATTTATAATGTAAAATTTTTAACTTGTTTTTGTCAAGAAAGGATGCTAATGTGTCGAGACTGCTGTTGAGAAATTTGTAGGAATCGATGAAGCGCAATTTCACAACATTTTTAAATTTATCTGTTGTATCTTAGACGTTCTTTGTAAACGAAATATATTTTTCTTTTGTTATCGGTAGTATATCGATTGAGCCCTCGAATGTTAGTTATTTCCTTGATGATAAAATGAGAGTCATAACCGGATAAATTATGAAATACTATTGGAATGTAATATAAATTTTTGTAATTTAAATTACAGTTTGAGTGCGCGAAACCTCTATACTGTCCGGTGAAGTGACAATGATACGCGTGTATCCTCTGCCGCAAATGGCTTCTCGCACACGTGACATGGCGTCGCGTTACGAAATGCCGCTCACTGTTCCTTCGACAAAGTTTCCATGGGGAGATTAGTACACAAAATTATTTTTACGCAGTGCGCTAACTCTTCGAGTTGCTTGACGAACCACGAAATACAATCCGTATCGCGACGGCTCCGAAAATATGACAATGAATTATTATGTGAGCAACGCAAGTAATATGCTATGCTAAATACTTTGTGATGTTGATACGCGCGCGATGTACATCCCTCCTCTTCCTTCTCGCTTACAGTCTTCTGTAAGATGCATTCAAAGTCAGTATACACCACAAATGGAACTTGCTCCTTCCTGCTATAATTGTTGAAGCTTAGCCACTTGTTGTCCTCGCTGGGTAGCAGGATGGCGCAGTCGTTCATCTCTTCGCAATCCTTTGTATGGACCTGCAACTTTTCGCTCGAACTAAAGTAGTGCAAACATCTGTAAACAATCATTTTTTCATTACTATTTTTTTTCACAAGATATTGTAATGGTTTTTCTTCAGATTTATACTTACCAATCGCAAATGTATTTTCTGACTTTTCTCTTGCTCAATTGAGAATTCATAAGCCGAGATAAGTCCTTGATCCAAGCAAAATGTCCCATGTTGTGGTCTCGAGGATCAGAAATGTGCAGCTAGTTGATGTGTTTATCCATTTTGCAGCTGGTGAGGCGTATCGGAAAGATCATATGTCTCGTTTCTTTTTCCGTTTTCTTTTCGACACAGTACACGTTGATGGATATATTGTTTTGTTGTTAAAACCTCGTTACTTCATTTATAGACATCGGAAACTCAATGTTCTGTAAATTTAATATTGACGTATAATGTGAGTACGAAGATTCTCAATCTGTATGTCTTTCGGCTGGGTGGAGAGCAGCGACCACCGCTCACGCATTCTCCATTGATTTCACATTAATCACAGCTCGTTTCAGCTATATTTCATGCGGTAATTCAAAATGACACCCCGCGTGCAACAGATTATATTTGTTTATTGTAAGATGTAATATTCGCGATAACGCCCACCCGTTATCGCGTTCCTGAAATTCCTCCAACGATGTCAAAGTTAGCTCGACGATGCATCGCTCATACCACTCTTGTAGATCGGACGCAGGCAAGAGTTCACAATTTTTCGTATTGATGCTCTTTATCGCACGTTTTTCACCCGCGATGAACTCACCGTTAAACGCAGTGTTCACTTTCACATTTACGTGTCTCTTCATTGCGTCCCGTATGCGCTCGAGCACCATAATCTTTGCGTCCTCGAGAGATTGACGAGGTTCAATGTTGATGACAACTCCGGTTAATACACGACTATCGGGAGCGGTGCACTTGGACACGGTGCATTTGGACACAGCCAATCACAGCACCGTATGATTAGAGACATTTGTAGGGTCCCTTGGAACAATGACTTGTGATTGGACTGTGTCCAATTGCCCCGTGTCCAACTGATATACACCCACGACTATCGAACGCGGTATCGACCTCGCGCCAAACGAGTCCTGCGTCTCTCGCGCTGTGTCCGGCACTCGCGTGAACGAAACGTGTGCGCAATATATTTTTTAAACTCTCGAGTTGCGCGATTCGAGCAACCAACGACTGTCTAGCACCGATCGATAATCGCGGTCGTTTAGCCCGACTATGTTCTTCCAACGATTCAATGCACTCGTCGCATTTTTGCGCTCACGCGTCGTACTTATCTCGTGAACTCAGTCGAGCCGACTGCTCCCACAGTTCTCGCATTTGTGTGAGTTTTTCCATTTTTTTTCCACAATACTGAGAATTTCTCAATTTATCGTTCTCTCTCTCTCAATCAGTCAAGAAGAAAAAAACCACCACATCAAACATATCATACGGATACCGTTCATACTGATCAAATTCGTCGTCCGGAATGATTGTATTTAATTTTGGCCACGCTAAACTGTCTTGATAAGACCCACAAAGTTTGTGTTTATCGTGTCATTCTATCTCTAAAATTGGGATACGAGCATGCCACAATTCACGATAGAAATGTATGTCATGGAACAGCACTATATGTGTGAACTTGTCACTACCTGCCGGAACTTTTATACAGAGTGCGGCATCAAAATCCGGACAAAATTCAATTTGAAATTCTCGCCGTTCTATACTACTGGTAGATGTCGCGATTAGCGTTCAAATAGTTCGACGCATGTACTAAACCATCATAACCTTGAAACAGTTGCAATGTTGAAACCAAGTGCGGAGTATAACAGAGGAGCCGCGATTATCGAAAGCGTTCGCGCTGGACGCTCGGCGACAGAAATCATTCGGTTCTTCGGGTACCCGAGATCGACTGTGTATGATGTTA